ACATTCTCCTCCTCCAGCCTACTGCTTTAAGCAAACAGCCTTACTACCACCATACATATGGAGCAATATGGGCACTCCCCCTTCTGCAATCCTGCTGCTGTCAGCTCCTGACAGAGGAACAGCCCAAAGCCATGGAAGAACTAGGCAGATGGTCAAAAAACAGCCCACAACCCACTCCTGGCACAGCTCTTCCACAAACATCACTGTGAAAAGCTAACCCTGGGATGAGGCTCGGACCACTCTCTGGGCAGGCTGAAGCAGTCTAGGGATCACAGCCCCCTCAGTATCCTTCTGGGTACTTGTCCCTGTTCTCCCTGTGCCATCTCTGGCTGATTTGAGCACCTATCACACCCATTCTCAAATACAGATTATGTGCTCTCTGGGGCAATGCCATGTCACAGTTGTCCGTCTTTTGGAAAATCTGCAGCACAGAGATCCTTGACTTCGGATCCCAGCTGCTAGTGGCTGTGAATAATTGGTAATTAAAGTAAAAGTGAAGCCATACCAGGGGATTGTTGTGCCTCTAAGTTTTCTCCAGACTACTCTCAAGAGACACAGGAGAGCTACCAGAGGTAAAAAAATAAATCTCAGCCTACTAGATTTACACAGAAACCATAAAAATTATGCGCCTGTATTGTTCTGACCTCCAGATCTTTTTTCCCTTCACATTTTCCTAACCTTTAAAAGGCATATAAGATAAACAGAGAAGAAGCTAGGCAGACAACATCCTTGGAAGAGAGGTAGGAATATAATCAAGCCCTCAGACACACGCACACAAACACCATAATTTATCTCTTCCTCCTCCTGTTTGATATTATCCTCTGTTCTAGTATCATAATCTGTTGCTATGGAAACAGCTATGATGTCACTACAAGAGGTTTATGGATGCCTTGAACAGGAAGGAAAGGTACAAGATGATGGGAGAGGAAAAAAAAAACCCACCTACAAACAGCTGCTGAGCAGGAGATGTTCCAGGAATGGCAAGTGTTAACCAGGAAAAGATAAATACATTGATGGTACTGGAGTTGTTGCAGACAAGAGCAGAATATAAACCACACTTTAAAAATAAAGAATGCTTACAAATTTTGCCTACAAGTAAAAATATTCTGGGCAAGCTAAAGGACCTTCCTGAAAAAAACAAACTTTCTTTGGAATGTTCAGCAAGTTTTCTGGGACTGAACATTCTCTGAGTATTGCTGGTAAAGTCCAAGTCTCCACCAAGCCCCTCCATCATGTGCTCTAACATTCCCTCTCGAAGTGTAACACCCCATCAATGCAGCTAATAGTTAGGGAGCTTGCTGGCTATCCCCCATCCTGTGTATGCCTCTACAACCTGTAGCTAGAAGAAAACCTCATGTCTTCAAGCAAAAATAAACAGAACCATAAAATCCCTTATGTTGAAAATGACCTCTAAGATCAATGAGACCAGCTGTTAACCAAACACTGCCAAGTGCACAACTGTGTCCCCTAGCACCACATCTATACGTCTTTTAAATACCTCCAGAGATGGGGACTCCACCACTCCCCTGGGCAGCCTGTTCCAGTGCTTGACAAACCTTTTCCATAAGGAAATTTTTCATAACATCCAATCTATACTTTCCCTGGTACAACTTGAGGCAGTTTCCTCTTGTCTTGTCACTTGTTACCTGAGTAAAGAGGATGCCCCCACCTCAGTACAGCCTCCTTTCAGGTGGTTGTAGAGAGAGATAAGGTGTCCCCTGAGCCTCCTTTTCTGCATGCTAAACAAACCCATCTCCCTCAGCTGCTCCTCCTAAGTCTTGTGCACAAGATCCTTCAGCAACTTAGCTGCCCTTGTCTGGACATGAACCAGCACTTCAGTGTCTTTCCTGTAAGAATTTCTTGCTCCTGTGCCTTTAAGATTTCTTTCTTGGAGAACATCCAGCCTTCCTGGACTCCTTTGTCCCTCAGGACTGGCCCAAGGGACTCTATCAATCTGTTTCCTAAACAGGACAGAGTCTGCCCTGTTCAGAAGCCCAAGGTAGCCCTTCTGCTGAGCCCCCTCCTTACTTCTTGGGAATTGAAAACCACTCACTGTACCCAAAACGGCCTCCAAACGGCACATCACCCACAGGTCCTTCACTGTTCGCATAACTCAGGCCCAGCAGGGAGCCTTCCTTTGCTGGCTCACTCACCAGCTGTGTCAGGAAGTTATCTTCCACATACTCCAGGAACCTCCTAGCCTGTTTCCTCTCTGCTGCTTCCTCTCTGTGCAAAGACATACTGCATCCACTGGACCACATCCAGTAGCAAATAAACACTCCGACCCCAAACTATAAGCAAAAAAAGAGCTCTTCTTGCTCTCTTCACCCACGGGAAAGACCACAACCTTACAGACTCCCTGCCAAACATACTGACATACCTGACTTACTACTAGAGGGAAGAGCATGCTGAGCCTAACAAGCTTGAGATGTGCCAGGCCTCCGGGCCATGCACATCCATGCGCAGGAGGATGCACATGTCGTTCTCACCCATAAGCTCAGGTGCTGATGGCTGGGTCTCCATCCTCATGCCTTTTTTGGCCACCCTGACTGAAGTTGAGAGTAGAGCAGACATGATGACAGTGAGGGTGGGGCAGTCACATATGTCCTTAAAGACATCATGTGGAGGGGAGGAGGAAGGAGGATGGCACATCAAATTTGTCCTGCATAGACACTGTTGTCATGGGGAAAGCAGTGGCAGAGAAGGAGGAAACCACAAGGATCTCAGGTCAATGAAAAGTGCTGGTGTTTTAGATAATCTCTGTCCCATCAGTTTCCCGAGCATGGTAAGTGGGATGCCAGATTTTAAGTGAATGCCACAGCATCAGTTTTGCCTCTGGTGTCAGCTCCAGATGGGGAATCCCCAGACAGATTCTCTGTTCTGCCTGTGAGCATTAGGATACAGGTAGTGTCTCTTATCCTCACTCACCTTCCCTTCCAAAGATGTTAAGATACAACTGCAGGGGAAAAAAACTGGGAGAGACTGAAGTCTGAAGAGAGTGGGAGAGACAGAAGTCAGTAGGGGCAACTGCAGAAACAGTCCAAGATGAGATCTTCAGCATTTCACTTAGTTTTCCATTCCTGTCAGCTTTGGCTGTGACAGCCTCAACCCCTGAAGTTCTCAGGGATCATCTCCCTCTCTTCTCTTACAGTTTACTTGCCCTCATCTTTGATCCCCACCTGTCTCTCTCATCCTCTTCTCTCTTGTTCCTGACCTACTGACTTACTCCTTCTCAATCTTCAGCCCACCCTTTCCTTTCCCAGAGGAATCTCTGTCACAAATGTTGTGGAAAACCCACACATTGTGATTTCCTTTCCTGAAAGTGTCCTGACAATTTGTATGATGCACTCTCCTGCGTCTGCATCTATAGGAAATTCAAATCCTTTGGGGTGGTAACTATCTACCCCTTCATGCCAATGTCATGCCTAGTACAGTAAGGTTCTGCTTTTGCTTGGCACAGCAAATACAACTGTTATTAGGAACACCTCAAAAGCACCAAAGGAGAGTAAAAGAGTAGGTATGAAAACAATGCCAAGTGTTATGTTATGCCAGTTTCTATTTTGTGGGCAAGGCTCTCCTCCTGGTTTTTATGAAACCATTTGTTCTCTTCTGCACTTTATATTTGGGACTGCAGAATTGACAACAAAGCTTATCTCGGTGAAGAAACAGAGATTGTCCTTTTTAAATTGGCAGGTGACACCACTCAGGATTGCAAAATCAGGGGAATTAGATAAGAATTCTAAACAATCATGACAAATTGAAGGGTACAGGATGACATTCAAATGGGACAGATACAAAAATCACACAGATAGGAAAGTCTATCTCCACACACACAAGATAGAAAGAGGCTCATGAGGCATCAGACTTCTTGGATAGAAGTGTATGAGCCACAGCACATCACAAGCTGCACAGAGATGAACAATGTTACTGTGCAGAACTTAAACCAAATAGGAGCACTGACTGTAACAGACAAGAAGGGACACTTCTACTCTTCTTGGCCAGCACAGGACAAATACAGCACTGTGCTCTAGCAGTGCCATTCAAGAGAGAGATGAATTAGCTGAAGGGAGCACAGAGAACCAGGAGAATGGTCAGAGCTGAAGGGGAAGAGATGCAAGAGAAAGAGCTGAAGTATGTGTTTGAGATATGATTTTGCCTAAGGAACACAAAGGAGAGACATGACAAAGACAAAGGAATAGTTTTCCTACACCCACAGTTAAAAGGACAATGAATCAGAGCAAGCAAAGCAGAGAGGAGTTACAGAGGGGTTAAAATGTTTTCAGTGACAAAGCAAAGGGCAACAGTAACTGCCTGGACACGCTGTGGACTGTCCATACATGAGGAATATGCTGGGCAAACCTGTTAAGGAACATGCTGGACAGGCGTTTGATATTTTGCCTTGAAACACATTTTTAAATCTTTCCTTTACCTATTTCCTATGATTTAAATGTTTTTGGTGAGAGGTAGGTTTCTTTGGCATTTCAGCATAGCCCAGAGCCCAACCTGTCAGCCTTTAGCATCAAAGGAGATGTTAGCCTGCAGGGTTCTGCCAGGTAACACCATTTTTCCAGGTCTTGCTAGCACCTTTATAGATCAAAATCTATGAAGGACAGAGAAGGCAGCTGCCCTTCATAGTTTCCCAAGTATCTCTGGCAAATACCAATGCCTTGTGGGATGACCTTTCCCACTTTTCAGGGAAGGAGCTGTATGTGACTGCTCTTACTTCGTCCTTCCAGAGACAGATGTCAGCACATGGCCTGGAAGGTGAGCAGGACAGAGAACAACATGTAAATAGAGTGAGCTTCAGCTTCTCCAAATGTATTTCCCATTCAGTGGTGATGCTGAAGAAAAAAAACAGAGGAGCAAACTATGGCATCCTTCACCCAGCACAGAATTCCCTCTCCCCTCCAGAACACAACACAGACAGGCCAATGCTCATCAGGTGGAGACACTGCTTCCCCTTGTGTAGCTCCTTGGGTTTCAGTGACACTGTTGCTCACCTGTATCAGAATCTAGCTCAGGAGCAGCTCAAGGGGTTCACTTCTCCAAGAAGGCCCACTTCCCTTCCTCTGGCTATTCTGCACACGTCTGGTGAGTAAGCAGAAGGCTGCTCCTTGGCATCATTCTGTCAGTGGCCTGACCAGACAGCCACTCTTTACATAGCACCTTTAACATATACAGCATTGTATAAATACACACTATTACAGCAATAAATACTAATGGTACAGACAGCTTTTTAATTTAGTCCTGACTCTGAATTTTCCCAGCTATTTTGAGATGTGGCAATGTCTTTGCCACACAGAGACAGAGGCTGCTCCTCCACTCACATGTGTGGGCAAGTCCTAGTAGAAGTATTTTTGTCATCAAAATTACCCAATTCTGAAGGCTACCTGAATTCAGGAGTGGTCCCAAAATAGAGGACCTTGTGCTTTCCTGAGGATGGACCTCAGTTTGCTAACACGGCCAAATGAGGGAGTATTCAGGGGTGCTCCATGCTGTAAATGAGGGGTAGCAGCAACATGCCTCTAACCCTTCCTGCATGACAAACAAATTGCTAAATGCCCTGTCTGGAGTGAAATTATCATCTGTGTTTATTTTCAAAAGAAAAGGTGAATTCTGTACTGCTAGGGGAAATAATTTCAAAAGAGAAGGTTTCCTGTTAATTACCTTGGTCCACGTTAGGGTATGTAAACAGTTCAAGGAACAACCTTTTCTCTAAATAATGTTTAATTCCCACTTCTTGTTATCGACCAGCTATCCTTCCAAAAGTAAGAGAAAGACCTATAAAAAATATTTCACATTCAGAGGGCAGAGATTTCCTAGTAAGGATGAGGAAACAACCTCATTTTATAAATGGAGTGATTAAGCTATAGAGGCCATGAGTCAGAAAGGTACTTCAGCGTGTGGCCAGCTTTAAAGACATAAACAATCCTAATGAAGTCAGCAGCACTGTCTGTGAGCTTAAATTTAGGCACAGACCCGAAAATATCTCCTTAAATTGGGATCAGAGGGGAAAAAGAGTGGAACCTTGAAAAAAAGCCCCAAAAAACCAGCCTTAGCCTACCCGTTCACTACAGACACAGGGATGGGGACACCATAATATCTTGTAAGCCCACCACTGAATGCCTTTGCAAACTCTTCCCATGGACAGCACTATCCCTTGAGTCCTCCAGCTAGAAGAAGCTGTCTCATCTGCCTCATACTGGTGTCTTCATCTGGTCTGAGCAAAAGGTGACTGCACCTCCCTTGACCTCACCATCTGGCAGGATAGCGCTACACCATCACCTGGGACCCACTTGGTGAGGCCCACAATCAGGACAGGGATAAATTTCCAGGCCCAGGTCACCATCCTATCATGATTTGACTTCCCAACTGTCCTCCTGACCAAATATTCACGTATTTTTACGTACCACTGCTGTGATGTGGCCAAAATTGGGCCTTATTCATTTAGCCACATAAGTCCATTATCTATCTCCAAATACACAGTCAAACTTCCCAGGGCTGAGCTATGTTCAAAAGCCTCACAGGCATCAAGGAGGTCTCTAGGCTGTTCCCCATCAGTAGAAGAACCTACACTGAACAAGGAGCAGAGGCAACTCTTATCCAACATGAAACCAAATCCAGTGGTCTCAAAGCAACCTGTAAAACTGGGAAGTAAATAACAACTGCTGAGCAAATGGGGAAACCCAGTGATGGAAAAATGAAAATTATTTCACTTTCCAGGCCAGCTGAGGTGTCCAACTGAAGCCAACTGGGTCTTTCCCCATCTGTTACAGCCACGAAGAGGAATGCACTGCACAGAGTCCAAGGACTAACAACTGAGGTGAGTAACTGAGCTTGCCTCTTTCCCGGCTCACCCCAGCCCCATGTCCCATCAGTGCTCTCTCCCCTTCTGAAAATAAAACAGCATTTTTTACCCATTACATAGCAAAATTGTTTAATCACTAGACAGCTAATTTTAACTGGAGGGAGCTTCCTATTATCCTGGTTATAGCCATACCCTAAGCAAATAAAAAGCAAGGCTTTTGGTCCCAGCACTGACATAGCTTAAGTTCTGGTTATTATTTCATAAACAGGAGTCGTCTCTGAGTTATCAGCTCCCTGCATGAACTTTGGGTTAAAGACCTTTACTCTGGCTCAAGGGGGCCATGTCCCTGATGAGAAAGTTTTGTATGCTTTGGTGAGATTTGAGGATGCATTCAAAACCCAGCAGGCCTGGCCTGTTTCTAGCATTAAATGGGATCTGATCCACCACAAGTACAGGGTCAGATTTTCCGGCTTTCCCAGCCCCGTGTGTGACAAGGATAGCGTGCAGGCAGGTCCCTGCCTGTGCTCAGCTCTAGCAGCCGCACCGGTGGTGAGGTGCAATTTACAAATATTACCCAGATTAATTCCATGAGCCACCCACATAGAAAACTACCGATGTGGCTGCTAAAAATACACCCTGAATTGCAACAAAGTTGTCAAGAATAAGTAAGAAGCAAAGCAAAGAGGAACAAAACCAAAACAGAGGTAATCACTGTTTAGAAAATAAAGGTTAATACGTATAAATACCTCTCTTTACACAACTGTGAAGGATGCCAGGTACGAGACACCAAGGAAATCGCTGGGGACACCCGTCCTAGGCAAAAATCCACCCACAGCCTGTGATATCTGGCAGACCCCCTCTTAAACTGGGGTCTCCCTTGGATCATAGAGCGTGGCTTTCTGCACAGTAGGAAATGTCACAATGAGTGCACAAGTGAGGATAACATTGCCTTAGAGGAGGGTCCAGAGAACCAGGTTCTTGCCTGGCTCAAACCATTCACCACCTCTGAAGCCAGTACAGCCTCTGCTGATGAAGCCACATCTCTGGTGCTCAGAAGCATGGCAGCCACTAGTTTGCCCCAACTCTGGAGTAGAGACCATGTAGGATTACACCTGATGAGGTCTGCTTTGAAACTCAACTCATTTCCTTGTACAGCTCACAAACGAAACTAAAAACCAGGTCAAACATTGCGCAGCAGTGTTACTTCTGTTTTGTTTCACTTGTTAGATTTTTATGCCCCTCATTTTACTGCTAAGCTCTCCACCACCCAGTGAAAAAAAAAAAAAAAAAAAGGAAAAGGATGAGGAAAAACTCAGGAGAGGAGAAGACAAGAGCAAAACCTCCGAATTTTTTAAAACAAATGGGAAAATTCTCCTGGCACAGTGTGTGTGGGAGAGGATTTCATGCCAGATATTCACTTATTTATCATGCCTCGCCTATTAATATCAGGTGAGGCACCATTCTGCTTCCCAGAACTGGTATTTAAGCCAGCTGCTCTGCACAAGCACACACCACCCTCACCTGCACATCAAGAACACTGGGTGACTTTCTGCGTGTGTGCTATGTTATCACTCACTTAAATTTCTACTGGAACCACTTCATAAGGCCTTTGAGGTGTCACATTTCCTCCCAGGGTGCTTTTTCTGTCAAAGAGCCTATGTTCTGAAATCGGTACGGCGGGGATACGGTTTCACCTCCCCTCGCCTGCCTTGCGGTGGTGGCGGTGGGTGTGCATGTGTGCCAGCCGAGACCGCTCGGCCAAGGGCAGGAGCAGAGCTGTGCCTGCCCGTCGCAGTGCTGATCCGAGCCCTCGCTTCCTGGGCTCTCCTCAGTGGCCTGACTGGACCTGACGCTCCAGAGGAGGGCTACAGACCGAACTGCTTTACGCACATAACGCGAGGCTCGCAGGGGAGGATGGCAGACCTTGCCTCCCTCCAAGGAGGAAATTGCATCCCCTGCGATAAGTAAGTTTTTATCTACGCACTGCGATATTGCAGGGAATTCTAAGGACCTCTCATGGCAACTAGGAGGCGAAAAACAATCATTAACCCCTCCTCCACTTCCCTCGAAGCCATTCAGCAGCAATTTAACCCGCAAGCATACCGCAACACAACAGAGATAAAACAATTTCTATCAGCCTTTACGCTATCTCCGGCTCCTGCCATTTAGGATATTCACCTATTTTGAGGCTTAAGGCATGCTGCAGAGCCTGGCCGCAGACCCCTCCGTATCTGCTGCGATGAATTTGTTCCTACGGGTCACTTTCAGGGTATTTTTCCCCATCTGCTCTCTTTTTCCAGTCAGGCAGAAGCAGGGGCGCCGCTGAAGTTAGGATGCTCTAAGGAACCGCTAAACTTCCACCGCACGCTCCGGTGCAGCACCGCCGCCCCCTCCCCAGGAAGAAGCCGGCGCCCTGCTCGCCCCGGCAGTGGCCGAGGCCTCTTCTCCTCTCCTCTCCCCTCCCCTCCGCTGCCCTGCCCGGCTCCGGGGAG